GCCAGACCTTTGTGTACAAAAGAAGTATGTACAATCCCTACTTCTGCCTTGGCCGTAGAGGGATAGACATTTATTTATTTTGTCTATTTAGTTATTCTATGTACTCTTCCCTAATTACTATTATTATTATTATTATTAATATTATTATCATTATTATTATTACTACTCTCACTCTGAATCTTTTTCACTTGACCCACTTGACATTTTAAACCTAAAATTATTAATTTTCATATTTTTATATTTTTTACAATATTGAATTCTGTCTTATCAAATTTCATACCATGTTATGTAACATTTTATATTCGTCTACTAATCTTATAATTATGTACCCTTTTCCAAAATCTATGCACCTTATGTATTATTCTATATACGACATTAATTATTGTGCCACTTGACATTAAACTATGATTATAATCACAAATATTTTAATTGCATTTCATACTATTATTATTTCATGTATTCACACCTTTGACCTAATTCCCTCACTGGATATAATTTTTTAAAAAAAAACCATATATATATGATTGTACAGCTTGATAATAAATTCGTATTATGTTAGAGTTAACGACACTACTCAACTGCTCATATTGAAGTAGGTAGAGTGGGATTCAAACCCGGTACCATTTAGCCGAATGCTGAAGCCAATCAGCCGGTGATCACTACACAGCACAAGTAAGCACACTAGCCGTTTCATCATTATCACTATGAATCATATTGGAATGGTAGCATGACGTAAATATATTAAAATGCTCATGCGAATATATCGGGAAGCTATAGATAGATAGTGCTTGAAAATTCACAAATTGATGCAATTTTCGCAGTGTTGGGTTGTAGTCCCATCCTACCTATTTCACTCTGTGCAACTAGATAGTTTCGTCGACCCTCACACAATAAGTGTGTCTCATAATCTGGTAAATGAGAAAAATCTATGTAGATATCTGCAAATATGAAAAATCAAATAGTTGGTAATTGTAACTGTCTTATGTATGGGTCACTGGTCTCTTCTCTTTCTCATGTAAATGCATATACAGTCTGCTTACTATCTCATATCTACATAACATGCTCCTTTTTCAAAGCGAAAACGTTCCTATTAATTATTGTCTAAGGTTCATCATAGGACGTTTGCTTTGTGTTGATGATCACCAGTAGCGTAGCTATCCATTGTCTGTAGCAGGCAATATTTCTGGGTGAGCACTTTCTCCTAAGCTATAAGATCGTAAATCAGTATGACGTGCACTTGATTTTTTATCATATTTATCCTATGACTATGGTCATATAATCTACTTTCCTATTGCTTAATATTAAAAAGGTGTAATTTATTTGTTTAGTTAGTGAAGTGGTTGAGTGTATTGACCACGAATACACAAAAGGCTCGTGTAGCATTTACTGACTTACGTTCACGTGATATCCGACTATGAATGTACCTATCAAAGGACGTGTGTACTGTTCAGCAGTTCACTCTGTCCTCCTTTATGGTTTTGAGACGTAGACATTGAAAATAGAAGATATGAACAGACTGTGACCACAGGTGTTTGCATCCTGTCTTCCGTGTTAAGTAGTATAATATATGGTGTAGAATGTTAGGTAAGGGGGTGGGAGAAGTCATTGGATGCGGTTATGAAGCTGCACCGATTGAGATGCGTGCTGAAACACCTTTTACGTGTAGCAATGTTAGTCGGCATTGGACTAGGTTGAAAAAGGCTTAGGGGGCTGGTCAAACCAAAACCTGGCATCACTCCATGAAGACTTTGTCAGTTGGTTTGGGCCATATATATAGAGAGAGAGTGGTGTTTAAAGTGTCTGAATGGGGACCTCAGACTGCTGAGGATCAATGACCGGAGACTATTGGTCATATAAGCTCAAAAAAGTTATCAATAGCACAGATACATTCAGTCTTTGTAATCTGTCAGATCGATTAAGACCGTGTTTTTCCATGTTATGATTCTTTCTCTCCTACATTTTTACTCATTATAGTTCAAAGATTGATTAATGAACAAAGAATATTCGGATTTTCGATAAATTCGTCATCAGGCTCTACATTTATATGACAGTGATAATTAAGTAAATACTGTTATTAACAACATTAGTATGGTGTACTTTGACTGGACACTAATAACCAGTGTAATGTGTCTAATCCTTTGTTTGGTGCAGACTGAATTCTAACAGTCAGGTTTGCACATTGATTTAATGATATTAGATGGTTGGAGGCGATCGGCAGGAAGCCTCGGACCTATGTTTCGTGCTAGTCAGCACTCGTTAGCAAGGCGAGCTACCTAGAATGTTGGCCACATTGCAAACCTGACTGATAGAATTCAGTCTGCACCAAACAAAGGACTAGACACATCACACTAGTTACTAGTGTCCAATCAAAGTATCCAATACAGTCCTACAGGAGGTCAATCGCGAGCCCGAATAGCTCAGTGATAACGTTTCTGACTGACTGCAGTACTGAGTGAGGCGGGTTCGAATCTCAGGAGGGACATGAGTTCCTTCAAGGTTGTAGATACGCCTTGCTGACTGGTGAGTGCCAACTAGCACGAAACCTAGGTCCAAGACTGGGCTCTCTGCTGATTACCTCCAACCATCTAATATAAGTGTGGTGTTTTAAGCAACATCAAATCAATATTATCGACAGGTTACATTTTAAGAGCATCAGTAAGTGAGAGATAATATGTGTTAATATAATATTAAACTGAATGTCGGATAAATTAAGGAATGTAATGCAGAGTTTATAGGTTTCACAGCAGGCCAGGGTAGCAATATTGGCTGAACCTGCTTCTTTTGCATACAGAGCTCCCATTGTTTTAGGAGAATCGCAATAGCATCTGGTGTTTGCAATGTTCGGTGTCTAGAGGCCTTTGGTAATTTATTCGATACTAGGTACACGATAGAGGATGATTCTTCAATCTTAGCTTTGTGGCCTGTGTGCAAGAGGTGGTCCAATGTTATAGCACTGTTAACGATTTAGACAACATCTTTATTAAACCACACTGGTAGACGTTCCTTTGAATTTTTTCTTTATCTGTTACATAGAGTGCAGTGACTTAAACTGCTGCGCTTCCGTTCAAAGTTCAGATTTGTTTGTTCAGCCTATTCAGTATATATTTTTTTCAAATGTAAGAACCATTAGGGACATGTCAAGAGGTCTGTTGAATATTACTAAACATATACACTGTCATTCTCATGATGTTTTTCTTCAACTTTAGGCGGCTGCTGAAGCTAAGCGTCTTGAAGAGGAAGCAGCACGTGAACAAGCTGAATATGAACGTTTAAAACAAGAATTCAGTATTGAAGATGAAGGAGTCGATGCTGCACAACAAGATAATCAGGCAGAGGCTTTGATAAACTCACAACTTATTGCAGCTATTGAAGAGGCGAAAATCATTCCAATAGAACATTTGGCAGTTAATTTAGGCCTTAAAACTGAGGTATGTTTCTCTATACTTGGATTATCATATACTAGCTAGAGGTATTTGGTATATTCTGTTGTGTTCCTTTTCAGTAGATTTAACAATACCGTTGTTTATTACTAGAAGAAACAATTATTCCTCAATTGCAAGTTTGAAGCTTGCGCATCACATCAAGTGCTCAACTGCAGGTGGAAACCAACAAACTGGCAGAAGAAGCAGGCAGCGAAGACAAGACTCCAAGTAAACATAGAGAAGTTAGTGCTGATGAGGATGATCAACCAACGACAACAACAACCAGCACCAATCAATATCAACGGACGAAATTTGAAAGGGGTTACTTCCTTCACTTATCTAGGAAGCATCGTTCCAACTACAAGCGGGCAGAACGAATGAAGATATAAAAGCCAGCCAGAATCGGAAAGGCATAGCAGACCTTCATAAATCTGACATCGGTTTGGAAATCTTCTTCATTCAGCATAATGAACAAGATTCGGATTTTCAACACAAATGTTAAGTCGGTTCTTCTAAATGGGTCAGAAACTCAGCAGGTGAGTCATGAAAGGCATTTCCCGTACGTTGCAGATTTTTATCTACAGCTGACTTCGTCCCATATCGAGGATCAAATGGCCAGAAAGAATCAGCAACAAGAAACTATGGGAACAAACCAACCAGGAGCCTATCGCTCAACAAATATGTGGAGGAGAATGGAGGTGGATAGGGCACATGCTAAGGAGACCGTCAAATGATATCACGCGCCAGGCTCTCGAATGGAATCTCAATGGGGAACGACTAGTGGGTCGTCTTAGGGGGACATGGAAGAGATCGTGTTAGGTGGAGATAAGAAATTATGGGCAGTCTTGGACCCAGGTGAAGAGGACGGCAGAAAATAGAAAAAAGTGGAGATGTGTTGTTAAAGCCTTATATTCCACTGGAAACCTAAGGGAACAATGATAAATAAATAAGTAGTTAAATTGCTCAGTAAATCGTAGCATCGTCTCATCTTATACCCTCTTTATAAGTTTCCGTGATTACACAGTGAAATATTGTCAGTACATATACTGTGGTGAGAGCTGTCTACTAGCCAAATTGGTAGACAGTAATTTACGTCAATATTTACGTTCCCAAGATTTGTCGTGAGAAAATGTGAACAAAGATTGATTAAAACCGACCACAGCATACTTTGCGTAGGCGGATGCAGTTAACATATAGATGATCTGACATTCAAGAAACAGTCACAAATAGATGAAAGATTAACTTTACGTGAGAAACAACCAATCGGAAGACTGTGTTTGTTTGCTTAAATATCCATAGTAATGTACATGAAAATATATAAATATGCGTTGATTTCCTTAATAAATGATCTGTTGTCTGGCCCTTGTCTTCTGTTGTTACAATACCAATAAGTTCGTCAGACTCTATACTACAAGTAGTCAAAACAATTCAAGTCATCTTATTGTCGTAAATTGTGGTTGCTTAGTGTCTACAGTAGAGCATTCATAAGCCTGTCTTCTTCATTCATCGTGATTGATTTACTTAGAAAATACACTGTAACGAAAAATACCCATTTATTCATAACTTAAAACAGTTTTTTTTGTTCAGAGAAGAAATACTGTTTTTTTCAACGACTTCATTTTCAAGCTGTACACTCAGTCGTATTTATATTATAGAAAAGGTTATTAAGTGGAACTAAATAATTGCTCAGTCAATATACATATACATGTGATAATAATAACGATAATTAAAATGTTATAAGGAGTAGAGTTGAAGTGGATGAATTACAAAATTATTAAAGATTGTTTTAATAAGTGAATTAATATCCATCCCCACGTGATTCATCCTTCAAGGTTATCTACATGACAAAATTGAATCGCTCCAAAAGTTTACGTTTTCTTCACTTATGCATAGCCGAAACTTTAGCTATACATGAACAGAAACCTAAATTAATTATGTGTTCAAAAATGTTTTGTCAAACCCCTTTCTTTACCTTGGTCATAGTAATGTTCTTTCTAGTTCTTATTTCATTTTATTTTACCACTTGAATTCTTTCCACTTCACTTCACATCTTCATTCTTATCGTAATCGTACTCCTAATTTCTTAAAATTTTTAGACCGCTTGATATTAAAAAAATTTTTTGATACCAATTCACTTATAAGACAATCTTTAATAATTTTGTAATTTATCCACTTCAACTCTACTCCTTATAACATTTTAATTATCGTTATTATTATCACATGTATATGTATATTGACTGAGCAATTATTTAGTTCCACTTAATAACCTTTTCTGTAATATAAATACGACTGAGTGTACAGCTTGAAAATGAAGTCGTTGAAAAAAACAGTATTTCTTCTCTGAACAAAAAAACAAAACTGTGTTTTTACTAATGAATAATATACATAAGGTTTTCTGTGAATATATTTCTGTTATCAAAGAATATTAGATGAGTCGTAGCACAGTAGTGTTAAATTCTTCTACCTGGCTAGATAACCATATTCTAACGGTGTGCAACAGAGACCGGGCATTTTTATCCAATAGAATCATCAGTCAACGAGGAATTCAAATGAATAATGTCAACAGATAACTGATATCTCTTGCGCAATAGACTTGCGCTTTATTGACCCAGTAGTCTAATTGGTAGTACTTTGGCGTTTGAACCTATAGAGTTGCTAAGTGGGGAACACTACCATTCACTGAGGATGCAGTTAAAAGCATCTGACGAGTCTCAAACAGGTCGAAATGCACATCGTGGATATGCCAGCCAACCACTGCTAAACAAATGGTTATACATTAAGAAGGTAAGAGTGAATATTGCATACCATGTAATTCTTGCCTGAATAAAACATATATAGAGCTTTTGTATAAAGTTTATGGTATTTGTACTGTTACCTGGGACAAACGTTTCATGTGTCAGGCTATAGGCTGCAGAATTATTATGTGAGGGCTGACGATATTCTTGCCCATTGCCCAGGATAAGTTTAGATCCGCATCAGGCACCTACCGACTGGAAGTCAAACGCTTAAGCCAATAAGGTACTTTCATTTTTCAATGGTTTGACGGTAGAATGCTAGTTAGCCACTCACGTCGTTCAGATTCAGTTTTCTGCCGACTCACTCTTTCACCTCCTCTCCTAGCCCGTAGAAAGCCAGGAAAAAGGGGAAGTTGGAAGTGACAATAGGAAACAACACCACTGCTACTGAAACTCCATGAACCTGGAAACTTATGTCCCATTCGGAACACAAGGAATCAAGAAAATTAAGGATTAAAGCTGTTTGTTTCAGTTACTCAGGAAAAGCAGAAATCAAATAAATCGTATCATTTACACTAGACTTCAGTGGAAATGTGTGGGCAGTGATTGCTTCTCAGCTGCAAGTTCATTCCTTCTTGGAGTGTTGTCTGAGACATAAAGAGTATTAATGCTACGTGACTGCAAAGCCCAGTGAACAACTGCTTGAGATTGGTGATACATGACTTGTTTGAAGTAGTTTTTGAAATTGCTTCCTTATTAAGTTCTTACTGGCGGTTTCAAACCTCCGGATGGTAAGTTGGGATGTACATTTTTCATGATCGATGTTCCCCAATCCCTACTTTCTAGAACAGAGAGACGGCATATCTGGCATGCTGATCATCTGTGGGAATCGCCTCACTGCTATTACATCTCTATTAGCCAGTATAGTACGACTCCATCAACAACTACGACGGTAACTGCTTTTTGTCTGACTGAAATACAAACAACCTTTCTGTCATGGTAATACCTTCGGAAACAGTTTCAGTCAGTGTAGCTCGCTGGGTCATTGTGATGCACAGGTTCAACCAGTTATTGGTCAAGCAGTAAGGCAAGTAGTACAGTATGTATGAATAGATTTAAATTTTTCATATTCTCTCTATTTCTCTGAATTTTTGTTACTTATTTTTCTTTCAAAAGGTTTGTGTAGAAAAAATCAAATCATTAATGTCATCTGGTCGTCTAAGCGGTGTATTGGATGATCGTGGCAAATTTGTGCATATTACAAATGATGAATACGAAGCTGTTGCTGAATTCATTGAGAAACGTGGTCGTATCACACTAGCAGAGTTAGTCGAAAATGGACATAAATTAATTCATACAGGACCGCATAGTTTAAGAGAATAATTCGTTTACTTCTTCTTCTTCTTTTAACAACTTGATTAATATGGTTTTTTCACGGTGTCTTCTCTGACTAACTTTGGTTTTTACTTCGTGTACAGTTGTTGTCTTCTGTGATTTATTTTCTTTGTCTTCTTTTTTTTATTGATGAGTTTATATTCCTCATTTTCTTTATGTGGAAAGAGTTCCTATCCTATCCTGTCCTTAAATGATTTCTGATGGCTATTAGTCTCTCCCTCTGTTTTGTCTCATAAGAATATTAATAATAGACCCCCATAATTGGTTTGTTCTGATGAGGTGGTGTTTTTATTTTTCAGCTGTTGAAAGAAAAGACCACATTTTGTGAGATTGGTTGCCTTATAATGGATAAATTGAGTAGAATTAACCCTACTGACGGCCGTATTGTTGTATTTCGTAAATGACAACTGTGCTGTACTGACTTTGTACAGTGCGTCGGTGGCATAGCGGTTAGGACGCAGTGGTTAGGACTCTCGCCGACCATGCACATGGTCCGGGGTTCGATCCCCTGCCGGCGCACACCCGATATCTATGGTCGGCCTGAATTTGGGCTACTGATATCCATGCTGAAAATTCCACACTTGTACTGAAAATACGGTGTGGAATCAAGCTGTAAATCAAAATTTAAAAAAAATAAGACAAGATTCAATGTAAATTTGTAAAGTCTGATGACTAAGTTTCACTGTAGAATTAATTTTGCAAAGTTGATATATTTATTACATATAGCACGCAAAGGTAGGGAAAAGAGGAAAAAAAAATATTCAAAAGAGCTTTAATGTGAGCAGTAATGAACGCGAGAAAGAATTAGTAACATGGAAAAACATGAGGACGGTGCTATTGGTGACTGACTGGTTTCAACACAGAACTTCGTACAGATGTGCAGCAGTTTGAGTTGTCACACTCCCTCCTTGTAGCACACTAAGCAAGAAAGATTCAAAAGAGAGATAAATAAACAGAAATTTGAGATAAAAGAATAGTAATATGGCAGAGCAGTAGAATTTTATTGGATATTATAAATCACAAAGAGTGAATACATCTGCGCCAGCCATTGACAACGATTTTGAGCCAGCCATATCACTAATTGTCTCCAGCCTTCATTGATTTTTACCATCCCGAAGTCCCCGACCGGGAAGTGTAAACCTCCCGACGCGGCTTAAACGAACTTTTGTGGATTTTATTGACTGATGAAGCCATGTTTTGGTTTGACCACCATTGACTCTTTTCCAACCTGATCTATCCTATGTCAGCTAACATTGCCCGTCGGTCGAGAAAGACAATGGCTAGGCATGCATGATACATGCCCTAACCATCTCAATGGGTGTAATTTCACATCCTCGTCGATTGATTTACCCTCCTTACCTAGCTCACCTTATTATTCCGCCCGATATGAGAGATAGAACGCAGAGACCTATGATCAAAAACAGCTAACCTTTTCATTTCTTCCACTCTCAATGGTCAGGTCTCATAGCCTTTACGGAGGATGGAGAGAACTGCTGAGCAGTATACACTCCCTTACGTCGACAGCCAGTCGGATATCACGTCCAGTAAGCCAGAGATGTCGTAAGTTGGCATATACCAAACGAGCCTTGTTTATCCATGCTGAGATTTCATCAGCAATGAACCTGTCGGGGCTGATTCAACACCCCAAATAAGTGAAGTGGTCAACACGCTCTACCACCTCACTCCCTCCCTATCTTTAAGGTAGGAGTCGTTGCGGTCCAGTCACGTAGTACCGATCATCTTACATTTGACGGAGAGGAGAGAATTGCATGTCACACATTTGAAGATTACTGCTCAAGGTGTTCCAAAGACTGCATTTTGTCAGCGTCTTCACCCAGGGGGGGGGAAGGACTACATCATCTGCGTATTCTAAGTCAACAGGATTATTCCCTGGTAACAGTGGTATTGGTAACGTTTTTAAGCTGTTTCGACAACAGTCTTAAACCATTGGTTCTTAGCATCTCAGAGACCTCCAAACAATCAGGCAGTCTATCCTACTCAGTGTGGTTCGAACCAACTCTCAAAGTCTTCAGGAATTGATACCAGGTTTCGATTTGATCACCCGTAACTATTTTCTCATCTAATCTTATATCGGGTAACATTACTCGACGTGGGAAGCGATGATTTTCGGCATGCGTAGATGTAGATGCATAACCTCGTCGAATAAATGATTTCCCCTCCTAACCCCCCAACATTCTACGTCTAAACTCAATAGTAGTCAGCATATAATGCACCACTTTACACACGAGAAGTTTGTAAATTAAAATGTATTTAATGATAAGGCAGAATCACAGATGTACTTTCTACTTACAAAATATTTTTTAAAAATTAACATTAATCTGCTGTAACTAATTTAATGGGTAAGCTTACTTTTAGAAAACGACAAAACTTCTATTTAACTGTATAAATCATTCAAAGGCAAATTTCTGCCAAACAGTCTGAATGTTTCTACAACAAGTATTTATAGCGAAAATATTCATTCAGATATCTATAAAACACAAAATAATCGAGCAAAGAATATTCTTTTCGATAATTTCCTCTTCTGGCTCTATAATTATATATATGTTTATATGCATAGAATATTCTAGATTAGTAGTCAGTAACAATATCAGTGTTTTTTAAAGATCAATGGAATTACAGTTCATTAAAGATGCTTAAATTATAATGGATATCGGTAGCCCAAATTTTGCAGGCCGACCATAGATATCGGGTGTGCGCCGTCAGGGGGTCGAACCCCGGACCGTGTGCATGGTCGGCGAGAGTCCCAACCATTGTGCCACCGACGCACAATCGATCCCCGGCCGACGCACTCTTTTACCTCGCTAAGCCAGAAATAATGCTGGTGAAGAGGAAAGGTTGGGTATGGGGCTAGCAACCTCATCCTGTAAAATAAAATAAACTTCAAGCCACTAGTTTGAAGCCCTATGTTCCACTGGGGAACGTGACGGAAAATATATAAATTATAGTAGTAATAATAATAAAGATATAATAACAAATAGAATATCAATTAAAATTAGGAAAATTCCACAAAACTTCAGGATCATTCAAACCTAGATGGCCAAGGTAAGGATAATGTCTGAACTAACTAATTTAGGATGCACAAATTAGGGTTGTTAATATGGATCCCCACAGCCTCAGCAATATTTAGTAAGCGAACTCTTAAGGCGAAATTGAGATTCGTTGGTATGCGGTAAATGACCCTGCTGAAAGCCTGGTTAACATCAATCAATCTTGTGTTCTGTATCCACAAGATGAGATAGAATAGCGCTGCGAGTAGATTTTGTTTGTCCTTTACTTAATCACTAAGCAGGGTGATGTTCAGAAATCCAACGAGAAACACGCCTATTTGCACGGCCTATGTAACTCGCTCCACAGGAGCAGTTTAATTGGTAAATACATATGGAAGAACAAGTCATTAGTTTTTCCCCTAAGCCTGGATTTCAACGTGGTCATCCATCACTAAGTCATACCTGTTACGGTCATGGGTGCATATTACTGAAGAATCCCAAACGAGGATGAGAAAGTTGTCTAGCACTCCCAGGTTTTCAATAGTTCTTTAGTCGATGTTTGTTTATGACCTAACTTAAAGACGATAGAATCCCTGCAGACCAACACCTATTACCTAAAATAACCATCTTGTTTAGGCTGTAAAATATAGTGATGATTACTGAGTAATAAGCAAGTTTATGAATATGTGGCTAACAAATATCATGCTGTCAAACATTTCATCGGAATTTAGAGGTCATTTGGGTGTTTTCGGTGTCGTTGCTTTTTTTCTTTTAAGCTGGTTGCTTTAATTGCGCGAAGCCTTTAAAATAAAGTGATCACTGAATATTTTGTCAAGAGAGACGGTGAGACCTTAGTTGCTGTGAAGATTGCAAGTAAAGTCAAATACTATCAGCTGTATATCAGGCATCTGTGTTTCATTTAATTTTCCGTTTACAGATGGTTTTCGAAGCGGTGCATTAAAATATTATACGACGAGTCATTCTATCTTTATGGAGAACTAATAAAAAGTGACTGAAGGACTACTCCATGAATCCCACCATGTCAATAAATGGTACATACCTGGATGCTAATAAGATAACTGCAAATTTCATTTTATGTGGTTTACACGCGTAGATTCCATTCTACCAAGAAAAAACTGAGTGTATATCGTTTAGGGATTAATCTCCTTATGTTTCTCTAGGACGATACAAATTTAACTTATTGGCCAAAACACTTCATTTTCAGGTCAGTCTTAAGTCGAAACATGCCTTATCTAATTCTGTCTGAGGACTGCGTAATGTCATCAGCCTCTCCACATAATCAGTGTGGTTAGTCGTCTACGATCCGAGAAATTCCTGAAGGGCACTTGTATATACATGTATATATAGAACTTGTGCATTGTGGTAGTATGTAATTCCACGTGAATTTGTTTATTGGATAGATAACACAGTGAAACATTGGATGGCGTTTCAAAAGCAATTTATTGTTCATAATCATCTAATCAGTAGTAAATGCACAGCTTGGCAACTTGATTTTTTATTGTTCTGTTTCCTCCTTTCCATTTGTTATCGTCGTCTTGGTAGAATGACAGATACACAAAGAAAGATGACAACAACAGAGGATTTAAGACACTGATGGTACCGCTATACAAATAGGGGATTTCCTTAATTCCCTAACTGATATCCGTCTGTGATCTAACTTGGAACAAATCAAATCTTGAAAATTAATTTAGTGCTCGCTAGTGACTGGCTGCGGGAAAAAGTTGCCTGGAGTTCTAGTGAGAAGTCGTGACCAGTGGGCTTCAATCGGTCGGAAATACTCGCCGATGACACTGGTTGGGGATTGCGCTAAGATCACGAATCGGTAGAGGTCGGAATTCATGTCCTGGCCTGGCTGAACGGTCCATGAGCTTACCGGGAAACCGGAGGGCTCTGGGTTTGAATCACAGTGGGGTGAGTGCGTACTGGCTATGAGTTCCAAACTAGGACTAAAAAGCTGTTCAGTACTCCCTGCTTTTCAATGGTTCTCTAACTGCTATCAGTCCGTGGTCAGACTTGAAGCTTTATTCGCTGAATTGACTGGGAATACGTACAACTTCAGTGATTCACAAGTGCTTCCGAACCTCTGAAAGATTTCAATACCGTTACAACAAATTGGAAAGAAGAAAGAGAGCTATGAGAATCAATTATTTAAGTTCTGTTATTAAAACTGACGTGGTGATGGCCAATAAGTTGTGTTCGAAACGTCCTCCAGTAAACGGTTCTTCTGTTTTACAGTGATATATCCAATA